GAAGTGATTATCTTTTGCATCAAAATCATTGTTATGGTAGAGAGGAAATTCCGTTCGAGTTCGTTAGTCGAAGTCATTTGGAGTGCTCCTATGGCTTGACGTGGTCGTTGTATCTTGGGAGATGATTGCTAGAAAACTGTTAGCAACGATACGGGGCAAATTCATCTTAAAGATAAAGTGTCAAACACTTGCCTCGACCAAAAATTCATCACTTGCATCTTTCTTCCTTCATTTTCTAATTTCTCTTAATTATGATTTGATTTCAGAAATTGATTAACATTATTTACATGTTTGTTCTGCGAGGTTTGATTAAAAGAATAATTTGCTTTCGTTCAAGAATCGAAAAAGATGAATCCATATTTATGCATTCGGATTCGGTAACTATTATTGCTTTGCTTCTCAAATTCTATTTGGTAAATCAAAACTACGTTTCGATTTCACGCAAATAAACGGTATGCTTTTATGAATATAATATGTACATAATCGGTGTATTCCCCAACACATTGAAGGCCTAATGAGGGTATTGTTGGGTGCCATTGGATATGGTTGGCATGAGAGAGGCAACCACAGAGATAGGCATGTAAGAATTGTGGCACACGTGGCATGAAAATCGGCGGGAATTCAATCATGGGGATGGACTCCGACGGCGATGACTGTCCTTTTATTCCATTCAGTCCTAAGCAACAAATGATGTTAATTTAGGTAAATTTTATAATGCTCCATCAATTATGATGGGTAACCCGATACCAATATTCCTATGGAGTTGTTGGAGGGATGGCGAGTTGATAGGGGAAACGTCAAATGGGCTCTATGATTTGAAAATATTAAGCTCCCCTTTGTTTCCCATTATTTGGCCATTAAAATGAAAAATATGATCGTTATCCATCACATCAAACCACCATATTTGACTTTTTATTTCTTGTGTGGAGCCCGTAATAACTATATTTTTCATTCTCATTTTTACATTAATGTGTACCAAACAGGACTAAGTCCTTGTTTGGTGGGGATTAAAATCAAACTTTTAATAGATTTTGATAAAAATTGTGGACCATAAATTAATTATCGACTTTAACTTAGATTAAAATTTAGATTTAAAACCCTACCGAACAAAATTAATAACTCATTGCACTTGAGCCCTTGTTGGGGCTCCATTCTATGTCAATATGTGCTTTCTCTCTTTTTTTCAATCATATTTTTCAATATAATAATATTACACGTAAATCAAAAATTGTTCCTTTTTTTAACTATATTCATTAAAAAAAATCACTATTCTAATATACATTTTTCCTCAAAAACTAATTTTAATGGATAACGAGCACAAAACGTCATTACTTTTCAATGTTATTGTGCAAAACATCTCTACCTTCCATTTTTTTAGCACTTTTATCCTTACCTTTACCTTTTATGACGAAAATCATCATTTTCATCAAATTTCTCATGTAAAATGACCCTCTATCTAAATAAAATAATAAAAAAGAAAAGAAAAGTTAATAAATCGCAATCATACGTGCAATTACTAAAAATGTAATTAGCATAAAACGTCTATACCTTTCATTATTATTGTACAAAACGTCTCTACCTTTCATTTTTTGACATTTTCACCCTTATTTCAAATTTCATTATGAAAATAGTTATTTTCATCCATTTTCTCAATTAAAAGCTGTAAAATGACAAATATACACTCATCTTTAAATAAAGAAAAATAAAGAACAAATTGCAACTATATTTCCAAAAATTTCAAAAAATATTACAAATAAATTCCAAATAAATAATTAAAAAAGAAAGTGATATTTTTTTTTTGAAAAATTTGCGAGTATAGTTGCAATTTGTTCTTTATTATTATTATTATTATTTGTTTATTTAAAGAGGAGGGTATATTTGTCATTTTATAGCTTTTAATTAAAAATTGGATGGAAATAATGATTTTTGCAATGAAATATAAAAATAAGGGTAAAAATATCAAAAAATAAAAGGTAGGGACGTTTTTGCACAATAATAATAAAAGGTATGGACGTTTTGTGCTAATTACTCTTTCAATAATTTATTTGGATTCATTTGCACTTTTTAAAAAGTTTGGGAGTATAATTGTAATTTATTCTTTAACTTTTCTATTTTATTGTTTTATTTAAATTGGGGCTATATTTGTCGTTTTACACAGAAATTTGATGAAAAGATGATTTTCGCAATAAAAGGTGAAGGTAAGAATAAAAGTGCCAAAAAATAAAATGTATGAACCATTTTATGCTAATTAACCTAATTTTAATAGTCTAGACGGAGCTAAGTATAGTGGTACGTAGTTATCAACTTAAAGACCAAGTGTATGAAACAAGCTACCTAGAGTTTCAATACAATGGTACTGGAGCGATGTATATAGATAATAAAACATACAATTAAAAAAAAAATTTATTATTACCAGGCCAAAAGTCACCAATACTTCAAACAACCCAATCAAAGAGGGCACAAGCTAAACAAGCAAGCAAGATATCCAATTTATAGAGTTGAAAGTTAGAAAGAACTTGAAGATTTCCTTGTGACTACCTTAGTGCACTTCCAACGGTGGCCATTGGGCTAAGTCTCTATAAAGAGACAATAACATATTTATTTATAATTCATTATGAGATCAACTAAATTAAGCTATGTTTATGATTTATATCCACGGCTTGCTGAATAGAGCATTAACTACTTTAAAGGAATTCGCTCTGGAGATTATAGAAATTATCACAAAATTACCACAGAAGGAAAAGAAAAACAACAAAGGATTCAATATAAAGGAGGCTATTTTCACCGTTAACTTCGTTACTATGTACATCGTCAAACACGTGACTACTGTTATGTGTTACTTTCGATAACTAACACATGTCTTTGTCTAGTCACATTAATTCGTCTATAAATTGGAACCTCTATACAATATAAAGTAGGCTTTTTCAAGAACCTTTTACACACAAATACTTCTCGTACCTAATCTACATATGAACTTCACTGAAATTGTTACTTTGAAGACGTCCGATGGCACAATTTCGTGATTAATATTAATCGCAATAACAAATAACACATGTGAAAAATGACTTTCATAATATTCATTGCAGGTTTAGTACATTGAATTGGTGCTAACTTAATTTAAGCATCTGCCTAACCCTACCTTTAGAATTTACTATTGTGTTTGGGCATGATTGAGAGTCGGCTTAGCCGTGACAGGAAATTGCCACGGCGACAGAGATGATGTGTCGATGGGTGAATCAAATAAGCAAGAGCCCTCTTTACTAAATCTCGTTTTCCAATTCCCATTCTCACTAAGAAATTCTTCATCATTGATCTCTATCTGGCTATCACTGTTGTACCCACTGCTCTGATTATTGTTCTTGTGTAGACTGCGTCGGAAGGATGCTGATTTTGAGAAGATGCGATTGAGGGATTGTGTGAGATAATGAAAAAAAATGTTGAACCTCAACCTTAAGGGCCCCCACTGCCCTGTCCTTAAAGCTTTGTGAGGGAGGTAAATTACGGGATGTGCCCCAACAGACCAGGGAACAAGAGCTGCCTGTATACTGCGCCTATAAGGAGTCAAATTTCATGTCTTAGGAATCGAACCCCCACACTGCGGCCGCCAGCAAGGCGTGAGATAACCTCATTCATATCCTTTGCACCACTGGATTATGCCCTGAGGGCAAAGATAATGAATATTATGGAGAAGAGAGTGTGTGAGAGAAGTTTTTGAGTGAAAGGTACGGTAGGATAGCGTGGGTGGGATACACCTTTCCTTTTCAATTAATTTGATGTAATAATATTAATATTAGTATTAAAAATTGAATTATCACCCGATTTTTGAATAAATCAATTTTAAACTTATTTTGAAATTGAACGTTAAAAATCATTAGTAGATGTAATTTCCTCTTGTATGAATTAATGGAAGTCTTTCAATGATTTCTATAAACTTTTATTTTAAAATTTTTACAGATTTTTGTAGAATTCAAAATTTTTAAAAGATTTTCATTTAAAATAGAATTCACGTGGATCTAAAATAACTGTGTAAAATTCTCATATATGAGGAGGAGGTTTTCAAAATCCCCTTTCACTTCCCCATATAATAAAAAATATTTTTAAAAGAATAAAAATATACACCAACTTAATTAAGTAAATAATAGTCAAAATAATATATATCTTGCATCATTCTTTCATAAAAAATAAGTAAAAAATTTAATATTCGGTATTATCAATATGACGTACCTAGAACTTTGATTTTCTGCTAGCCCAGCACTAACTCTTCGGTATATCTCTTGCTGGAAGTAACCCTGATCCCATTGATAACGAGTGGGCCCAAATAATTCGATGGGGGTAGTTGCTGAACCATACCACATAGTTCCAGCAACAACAAAAGCAGCAAAAAAGACAGCCGCGATACTACTGGAAAGTACGGTTTCAATATTTCCCATACGTAATCCTTTGTATAGACGTTGTGGGGGGGGGGGGGGGGCGGGGGGGAAGAGAGAGAGACAAACATGGTCAATTTGTTTGAAATATTATAATAGAATAGGTTATATAAGACAACGATCAAATTTTATGATATAATTTGTGCAGTCTATTATGGCCCTAGACAACCATTATTTGAAAATTCTTTGTTTTGCATTCTCATTTCCATCACATATTCACACAATAAAATATTTTATACGTAAATTCAAAACTTTTTCTACATTTTAAACAGATTATCCTAAAAACCACTATTCTAAACATTATTTTGACCAAACAAGGCTCTTAATATATGGTTCCAAAACAAAATAAATATCGTAGCCTAGCACAATCTATTATCTTTGTGTCAATAGGGTTCACAGTAATCAATTGTAATTTTTTACTTTTACCAAATTGTAAAGCATACAACCCAATGTTACATAGATGGGTGCTAATGCTAAATAACATTATTCCTAATATATAATGTGACCAGTAAAAGGTTCAACATTTGGATCTAAATTCCAAAGTCACCAACAAATGTTGATGTTACAATTTATTCAGGCTATGACCTCGTTCATCATACACTCTCTAAATTTGACCTCCGCCTTCGTCCCTTCTACACGAACAATATCACAACATTCACATCTATCCATCTGAGAGAGACACAAGAAGCAAGAATTAGACATTAGGCTTTCATTTTATCAAAATTTTGTTTTGAAATCTATTGGGATAAGCAGTTGGTGTTAAAATTCAATTCAAGTTCACTCATTAATAACAAAAATATGATTCAGATAAATTCATGCTTGGCGCGCAAAACATAATCTAGCCAGGTCATTAAAAAGATTGAAATTTCAACATTACCTCTAGGCGTTTTGTTGCAGGAGAAATGACTTCAATTTTAGAAATAAAATCTGCAGTATGGTTTCCACTTGATGAACAAGCTGGAATCCCACGAGGCGATGCACGAGAGTAGCTCGTAAAGATCTCATTTCTTGGTGTTCTTTTTATGGATTCAAGGAAGAAAACGTGAGGGGCTTCACATGGATCATTGGAGGGCATCCTAGTATCGAACATAAAATTTGGAGGGTGTGGACTCCTTGTCCATAAACTAAACGTTTTGATGGGATTTTGTAAGTAACTCCGATGCATAACTCTCTGGTATATATGTGCAGAATAGCCCCAAGAAACTGAAATGGTCCAGTTTTTTTCCCTGTGATGGCATATGGTTTGCTGCACCAATCGAGACTGGTCGACATTTGCTGCCTTCATGAGGTGGCGGGCCGATTCATAACGATCCATGGAGGGAAATAATGGGTCTAATACGTCGTAATGGTGAAATGACAATATTGGAAATTTTGGATGAGACGACAAAAAACCAGATATATCGCCTCGTAAATCAACCTGAAATGTATGTCGAGGATAAAATTCATGTTGTTTGATTATTAAAACAATAATACCATCTAATAAACAATTTAAGATTAATTACTCAGACCATTTTTTATTTATTTATTTATTTTTCATTCGACTTGAAACTATAAATATATTAAACATTTCACCAGTTACTTTCTCAAACGTGGCATGATTATCTCGATTCGAAAATCACTCTAAGCAATTCCATATGTATTTGTCTTTAAAAAGAGCGTCGACAGCTCCCTAATTTGATTTAATGAATATACAGGGCCGGTCCTGATATTTTGGGGGTCTTATGCCAATTTTAAATTAGGGCTCTATATTTTGAGTCACCTTGTATAAAGTTTCAACCTTTGTTTGATGAAGATTAAGTCAGTCTCATTCTTTCATCGAAATACATTCTTCAACAATAATTTTGATATCATTTCAATTATATATATTCAATAAAATAATATTACACATAAGTTCAAAACATTTCCTTATTTTTAACCACGCATTCTCCATTGTAACACTATTTAAAAATGCATTTTTTTTTGAGAAAAATGAGGCTCAAACAACTTCTAAAACCAAATTTTTAGTATATTTTGATAGAAGTAGATAAAATATGCGGATTTAAAATTGTAGAACCCATAAAATAGTTAAAATTAATTATTGATTTAGATTTAAATTAAAATTTAGATTTTAAGTGATACCACACACGGGCTTAATATAATTATCAAGACTCTAACACAGATAACTAAGCCCCAAAATTTGAAGAGAAAATAAACAAAATGTCAAATTTCAACCAGCAATATAAATTACAAGTTTGGCAAATAGAATTACAATAAAATGGCAAAGGGGTATGTTCGTTTGTATGATAATTTTCTCACTGCAACTATTCTAAATAAAATTGAATATACATTTGAGTGATTTATGTACAAAATTGGAGAACGTGATTGCAAAAGATAGTGTAACAAAGTAATAAAAATTGTGATCAAATACAAACGAGTTTCTAATTTTATATTAATTTATAAGAAATTAACTAAAAAATAAGAAGTATTTGTATGAACAAGGACAAAGAATTATTAAATTCAAAATACTTTTAGCAAATATCTAAAAATATTATTGTCATGAGATTAAAACAAAACAATAACTACATGTTTTGAAGATAAGAGAGAAATATAAGGTTGTAACAATGTTAGGGAGATGAAACCAAACTATATTGAATATAAGGTTGTAACAATGTTAGGGAGATGAAACCAAACTGTATTGAATCTTTAAAATTTTAATTCAAATGGAGATACTTTATATCTTGTTGGCTTGAAAAAATAATAGTGGGTGATTGTTGGATATGAAATTTGAAGAGATAAAGAAATATTTTCTTTGGTTAACAAAAGAAAATGAATGTTTGGAAGATAAAGTGTCACCTTAATTATAAATAGGAAAAGTAATGTTTGTGATAAATAAATGTAAGTGATAAGTTTGACAACATATATATATATATATATAATTTACATTTTACATTTTTTTTATTTTACAAAATTTTATAAATATAATTTACATTTTTCTTCAACCAACCAATTAACTTTACATAATTTGGGACCCTCACCATACCGAGGCCTTAGACGATCGCCTACTTCGCCTATACTCAGGGCCGCAGCTATGAATATAGTTAAGAAAGGATCAGCACAATTAACAAAGCTGTCAAGGTTCATATTCATTCTTCTCCATGAATTAATTGCTTACTAAATGTTGAACCATAACTTCTAAAACATAAAATCGTCTATCAGGCAACCTATTCATGTAATTTAATGTAGAATATATGTTCCATAATCTTCTCTTCATCAAATATCTGATAAGTGTATATGACATGTAGGCCATGCTTGAGTTTATCTCACTACTCCTGCATTTTGATATGATTTTGTTCTGAGGTAACTCAAGTAAAAGTTTAAATCATAAGAAGGGACTCACATTTATTTATGCATAGCTTGGATGAGGCAGTACCTGGTGCATTCCCAGATGGGGAGTCAAGTCGACTCCAATATCAGCAATGCAGGCCATCGTTGTCATATCAGCAGAGTTCCTTGGTCCATTCAAATGTGCATGTCTTCTCAGACAATTTTCCATGTCATTTGACAGGGCTCTTGCCAAAGGGTAACTCAAAATGAATCCACCTCCACCAAAAGCTTGGTTGAATGAGTACCAAACATTGGACCAAATAAACTCAGACTGGTGACCAAGGTAATAGTACATTTTATGATCTAACTTTGAAAGAACATCAACGAGGTTATCGACAAAAAATATTGTATCGTCGTCTCCCATTATTAACCATCTGAGATCTCCATGCTCCTCTCTGAAAACCTCCATTATTCCATGTACCATTTTATTCATGAGGTAAATACCCCCAATTTCTTGAACGAATTTTGTAAGGTTCTCAGAGATCTTATATGGTGGAGAATCTTTTGACCAAGGGAGGAGATCTTTCGTTGGTTCTTTATCTAAATATACGTATCCCCTTGTAACGTTTGGTCGCCACCATGATTCGATGTACGGCTTTCTATGAGGCCATGATGGAACTGAACCAAGAAGTCCAAAAACAAGGTGGCTAACATTAGTTGGAGAATCAACAGAATTCTCTACTGAAGATTTATTTGTGGGAAGTGCCCTTTTCTGGATAGGTGTAAAGATATCAGAAGTTGGACAATTGGGATATTGACTTGAAAGAGAAACGTAGATCAAATACAGAAGCAGACCTAAAATCAACAGGGTTTTGCATGGGCTGCTAACAGAGAAATTATCAGAAGAAAATGAAGAGTTCATTTTGAAATTATGGAGAATGTATGGATTTGTGCAGGGTATAAGAATGAAAGGATCAAACCAAAAATCTCAATGTATCATAACAGATATATCATTTATCACAGTAGATTATATAGATCTATAATACTTCTCAAAATATCATATAATACTACCACCACATTCATGCGTAGATACCCGAAAAATCATCAAGATTTCACTTTTACTCCTAAACAAAATTTGACAGTTCATAATTTGAAATTTGGAGAAAGAGAGAGAGAATGACTTATCGGTGTCAATATTTTATCATCTGCGTGATTTTTAAGTAGAAAAACTATAAAGCAAACTTTATTACATAATTTCTGGATCCTTTAAATAGTTTTTCCTTGTAGAAAAAATTAAAAAGAACAGGTAATTAGTGTTAGATACAACCAACTGCAATACGGATAACATAAGAAAGTTAACAAGAAGTTGTCTGATTAGATGAGGACGTTATCATGTTATCTCTATCAGATACATCGTTAATGCGTTAATTATCTATATATTTTTATGTAGAAAAAGTGAAAAACAATAAGGCATACTCTATTATATAATCATTTTTGAATTCATTATTAGTATCTTCTTATAGAGAATATATATATTGTGTGTTTGTGTAAAATAGGTAATTGCTTCTAGTTATAAAACGTGTGTTTGTGCATGGGTGGCTATTTAGGGGTGGACAAAATGTTCAAACCAAACCAAACCAAGCGGTTGGTTCTATAAAAAAAATAATAATGGTTTTGGTTCTTTGAATCGAGAACCATTTAATTTTGGTTCTGGTTCAGTTCTAGTTCGAAAACCAAAACCAGAATCAGAACAAACTTACTATTTAATTTTATATATAATAATTAGTGAAGACCCTAATTTTATATTCATTATAGATAGCCCATTATTTGAATATAGTTTATTAATCGATTTTTGGTCATTAGAGATAAACAACTTATTGGTTGTCTACATACTAATTATGTATTCGGTTGAATTATTTCTCCTTCACTCCTTTTCAATTTACACAACGTCGCAACATATTGGTGCCGCATTTCATCAAATCAGTGGAGTGTCATTTAAGATCGAAAAATGAAATTGGTCAGTTACTTAAAAAGTCTCTAAACTCTTTTCTTACCTCGATTGTTTGATGAGTTATTTGTGTTCTTTACAAATAGAGGAAAACTTAATAAACATTCATGAAATATTAAATAGTTAATGTTGCCTGCAGAAGTGGACTATAAAAATTTTGATAATTCATTCTTTATTGTAGGGTTGTGCTTTCAAAACTACTGCAATTGATTTAGTGAATCATTGCTATTAATTATTAAACAATTTTTTGTATGAAAATGAAAACTGATTTGTATATTCAAATTATGAATATATTTTGTTTGTTAGTTATGACTTTTTTTACCTCGATGATTGACATTTGAATTTCCTAAATGTTTAATGTTTATTTTCTTATTTGGGTATACATTACTAATTTATATGATGCAAATCTAAAAATTTAAGAAATGAAATTAGAACCAAACCAAACTAGAACCGAAAGGTTCGGTTCAGTTTGGTTTCATATCTTAAAAAAAAAAAAAAAAAAAAGCTATTTTTTTCCATTAAAAAAAAAAAAAAAAAAAAAAAAAAAAACCAAAAAAATCATCTATCTTTTGGTGTTCGTTTGACTTTATTTTATATCAAAATTGTCAATTAAAGGGAAATATTTTTTTTATAATAATTCTTAAAATTTGTTTCCATAGCTATAAAAAAAATGAAAAAAAAAAAAATCGCTACAGTAACCGGTAATTGGAATTCTCACCTTATGGCAAGAAAGTTGGAGAATGAATTCTAGGGAAAATAAATGCTATCAAACAATGAAAAAATGGAAGATGGAATTGATTTTCCAAGTTCCATGGAGAATAAATTGCTATCAAACATAGCCTCCTAGCAGGAAAAGGTACATTTAAAAAATTATCAAAATATGTTTAAAATGTAGATTTTTAGTCTTAATTAAAAGCAATTTTCACTTTTTAAAAGCCTCGTCAAACGAGTCAGTACTTGAGACTTTGTATTTCAAAGGTTGAATCTCTACCTTAAGGGCCCTCACTATTCCGTCCCTGAAGCATTGTGAGGAAGGTAAATCGCGGAATATGCCCCAACAGGTTAGAGAACAAAAGCTCGTCCGTACACTGATACTCACAAAGAGTCCAATTTCATATCTCATAAATCGAACCCTCACACTACGACTGTCAGTAAGGCAGAGAGTACTTCACTCATTTCCTTTAAACCACTGAGTTATGCCCTGAGGGGCTTGAGACTTTATATTTCCCACGTACATTAAGGAGTGAGGAAATTACAAAATGACAGGTGTTTAAAGACCACTCTTCAAAATTCATATACAAAGTTTGATTAATCAAAAATCAGGTTGATAAATATATATTTTAATAATAATATTATTATTATATTATAATTAATCAATTAGGCCAATTTATCCCAATACGACAATACCATTTCCCCATTTCAAAACCTAATTGGCTGAATCTCTCTCTCCGCTCTCTTCACTCGCTGCTCTCCCTCATCCAAGTTCGCCGTCATCTGTCCGACGAGACGAGAGCCACGGCTGTAGATTTGCCTTTTCTCCGGCGAGACAAACTCAGAGGTGTGTGTGGGGGCACTGCACGTGATCTGTGAAGAAGCAGTGCATCCCAGCTCTTTCCTTCTCTCTATCGCCACCGCGAGAAACACTGCATGGTACACGTCAACACCTCTGACGCAGTCACGACAGTGGCGTCATCAACCGTTGATGCTGTTTATGGTGGTCGGGGTCTGGGCTGGTCTTGTGTGGGGTTTTATGTAGTAGTGGCGGTTTGGGGTTGTTTTGGTGTTGTTGGGGGGTTTTGCTGGCGGCGTTGGTGCATTTGGAGGTGTTGAAGGTGGTGGTGGTGGTCGACGATGGTGATGGTGGTGCGTGGTAGGTAGGATACAGGCGGTAGACTGTAGTGGTGAGTTTGCGACGGACTGGTGTGATCCGTTTGTGGTGGCGTTGCTGGTGCGGTGAGGTGATGGTGGCATTTATCGTTATGCAGGTGGCGGCAAGGGGGTGATCATGCAGGAGTGGTTGAAATTTTCTCCGATTTGCTGTGTTTTACCAATTCGTGGTGTTTCTCTGGTGGTGATGGTGGGGGAAGTGTTGGTAGTGGTGTATGTGACCTTTGGTTAAATATGTGACCTTAAAATTGGGTGTGTCGTGGTGGTGTTGTGGCGGGGGCGAGGTATAATAGTGATTGTGACGAACCATTTGTTGCTCTGTGACCAAAATATTTGTGTTGATTTGGGTATGTGACCAACTAAATAAATCTTGATCGTAGACCGTGACTTTAAAATTCGATTAACTGTGATTAAAATGTAATCTGTAACCATTAAATTTGAAAATATGTGACCTGTGACCTATACAATTTTTGATATGTGATTTCGAAATAATTTGTGACCTACAAAATTTTTGATTTGTAACTTCGAGAAAATCTGTGATCAATTAATTTGATGATATGTGATCAGTAAAAAAATCTGTGACCTATAATTATGTTCATGTGACCATTAATTGTATAAATGTGACCTCATTATATTTAATTAATAAAAAATTTTAATTAATTAA